AACCATCAACGATGTTGGAGTAAACCCTGTCCCCAAGCTCCCTTTTCATAGGCCCGTACAACGGTTCATTTCCACAGGGGGAGCTGCCTGGTTGGAAGACAGCCGTTTCAAGACCCTGAAGCATGCCAAAGCATTGTTCTCGGGATTCCGACGCCACGGATCCACATGATTCTGGCGTCTTCGCTCCAGAATGTGCCAAAACGTCATTCCTGGGACTTCAACGCTGCGAACCAACATAAATGTTGCACCCTCATAATCCAGAACCCTTCCAAAACGCCACTTCTGGTACGTTGATCATGGGGATCCGCGTGATTCTTGCAAATTTCATCTGCGAATTTTGCGTGGCGTTAGGGCGAAAACCCATTTTGTGAAGGAACCGCCCTCAATCCGTGAAGGCCTTGCACATTTATACAACGAGTGTGCGCGGCTCTAAGGCGAGAGTCACATTTTGAAAACGGGTCTCCCTCAATCCGTGAAGCTCTTCTCAATGTTAAAACAAATGTGCGCGGCGCTCGAGCGAGAGCCACATTTTGAACACGACCCGCCCCCAATCCGTGAAACTCTTTCTGCCATTTTTCAAAACGAGTGAGCGCGGCGCTAATCCGAGAGCCACATTTTGAAAACGACCCGCCCTCCATCGGATCACAAGTGATGAGGAAGTCGCAGGCGAAACGCCCGGCCCGCCCTAACAACTGGCCTCGGGGTGCGACCGGGAAGGGTAATGCGGAGGAGGAGGAGCAGGAGGAGGAGGACGAGGAGCAGGAGAAGGAGGTAAAGGAGGAGGAGGAGGCAAAATAAATAGAGGAGAGGAGAAGGAAGATGAGGAGGAGGAGGAGCAGGAGGATGAGGTGGAAAAGGAAAACGAGGAGGAGGAGGAGGAAAAGGAGGAGGAAAAGGAGGAGGAGGAGGAAGAGGAAAAGGAGGAGGAGGAGGAAAAGGAGGAGGAGGAGGAGAAGAGGAGTGGAGGAGGAAGAGGATAAGGAAAAGGAGGAGGAAGAGAAGGAGGAGGAGGAGCAGGAGCGAGAGGACGATGATGATGATGAGGATGATGATGATGTTGATGATGATGATGCTGATAATGACGATGAGGAGGAGCATAAGGAGGAGGAGAAGGCGGAGAAGGATGAGGAGAAGGAAAAGGAGCAAAAAGGAAAAGGAGGACGAGGAGGAGGAAGAGGAGGAGAATGAGGATTAGGAGGAGGCGGAGGAGGGAGAGGAGGAGGTGGAGGAGGAGGAGGATTTTTCGGGGGGAAATAATCGTGATGATGAGGATGATGATGATGATGATGATGATGATGATCATGATGATGATGAGGAGCTTGACGATGATAATGATGAGGATGATGATGATAATGCTGATGATGATGATGTCGCTGCTGCTGCTGCTGATGATGATGATGAGGCTGACGATGATGATGTCGATGCTGATGTTGATGATGATGATGATGATGATGTTGATGAGTATGATGGTGATGATGATGATGACTATGATTATGATGAGAATGAAGATGAATACGATCATGATGCTGATGCTGATGATGCTAACGATGACGATGAAGAAGATGCTGATGATGATGATGATGATGATGGCGATGCTGCTGATGATGATGCGGATGCTGATGCTGATGATGCTGATGATGATGCTGATGATGAGGATGATGATGCTGATTTCGATGATGGTGATTATGATGATGATGATGATGATGATGATGATGATGATGATGTTGATGATGATGATGATGATGATGATGATGATGATGATGACGATGCTGATGCTGATGCTGCTGATGATGCTGATGATGATGATGGTGCTGACGATTATGTTTAATATGATGATGGTGATATAATGATATGATGATGCTGCTGACGATGATGATGAACTGATGATTATGATGATGATTATGCTGATGATGCTGATGATGATGATGATGATGATGATGATGATGATGATGCTGATGATGCTGATGCTGATGCTGATGCTGCTGCTGATGATGATGATGTTGATGATGATGATGATGATGATGATGATGATGAAGATGAAGATGATGATGAGATGATGATGATGATGATGATGATGATGATGATGATGATGATGATGATGATGATGATGATGATGATGATGATGATGATGATGATGATGATGATGATGATCAGGAGGAGGAGGAGGAGGAGGAGGAGGAGGGATCAGGAGGAGGAGGAGGAGGGAAATGAGTGTGAGGATGATGAGGAGGCGGAGGAAAAGGAAGGAGGAGATGTATAAGGATGAGGATGATGATGAGGATAAGGAGGAGGAGGAGGGGAGGAAAATGATGATGATGATGATGATGATGATGATGATGATGATGATGATGGATGATGGAGGAGAGGAGGAGGAGGAGGAGGAGGAGGAGGAGAGGAGAGGAGGAGGAGGAGTTGGAGGAGGAGGAGGAGGAGTTGGAGGAGGAGGAGGAGGAGGAGGAGGAGGATGAGCATAGTGACAAGGAGGAGGAAAAAGAGGATAAGGAGGAGACAGAAAAGGAGGAACTGGAAGAGGAGCAGGAAAAGGAGGTGCAGGAAAAGGAGGAGGAGGAGAAGGAGGAGGAGGAGGAGGAGATGGAAAAGGCAAAGGAGAAGGAGGAGGAAAAGGAGGATGAGCTGGAGGAGGATGAGGAGGAGGAGGAAAAGGAGAAAAAGTAGGAGATGAAGGAGGAGGAAATGGAGGGGGAGGAGGAGCAGGAGGAGGAAGAGGTTGAGGAGGAGGAGGAGTAGGAGAAGGAGGAGGAGGAGAAGATAAAGGAGGAGGAGGAGGAGGAGGAGGAGGAGGAGAAGGAGCAGGAAAATGGACGAGGGGGATGAGAAGGAGGAGGAGGAGCAGTAGGAGGCGGAGCAGGAGGAGGAGAAGATGAAGGAGGAGGAGGAGGGCCAGTGTAACCCCAAGTCTTATGAATGATGTTGACATACACCCTCCCTCCAAAATCATTCTTCATAGGCCCCCACAAGGGGTCATTCACAACCGTGTGAACATCTTGAAGCGTCCCAAAGAACTCGTCTTTGGACTGCAACGCCACGAGTAAACCTGATTTTCTCGCGTCTTGGCGATCTTGAGCCGTGCCAGAATCTTGGGACTTCCACGCCGCGAGTCAACGTAACTGTTGCGCCCTGACACGACCCGCCGTTCACCTGGGAAACTGTATTCAATTTTCCCGCATCACGGTCATAACTGGTCAGGAGGTCTCAGGCGCAACGCCCGGCCCGCCCTTTCGACCGGCCTCGGGGTGTGACAGAAAAGGAGGGAAAGGAAGTGGCGGAGGAGGACGTGCTGACGTATTCTCGGGCCCCTCGGGTCTCTCCTTGGGTTCTCTTCGGGGGGCCCGGAACATGGTGGCAGTGCCGAGGGCCCCGGGCGCTCTCGGTGGCACGTCGTGGGCCTGCCCAGCCATCGGTGGCTTCCCTTCGTCGTCGGTCGAGTTCGGCCAGCGTCCATCGCTGGTCGTCCCTGGGGCGGGCGCGCACTGGCGGTGCGCACGTCGTGTCCGTTCCATAAGGCTTTGCGTTCTTTTTCCAGCCGGGTTGCGTTGGTCAGGCCAGACACGTCGAGGTAAGCCGATGTAGGTTTGTTCCGAGTAGAATCCAGAAATATCCCAAGGCAGTTCGGAACCAATCCTGGGCGCCACAGCGCGAGTCGAAGGACATCAGAAGCCGCTTCGTCCCCAACGACGTGTGCACATCGCGTCCGTTCGCCGTCGTGCCGCTCGCCGCGGTTGATCTGGTCGTCGTCGTCGTCGTCGTCGTCGTCGTCGTCGTCGTCGGCGTCCGCTGGACGGACGTGCCGTGCGCACGCCGCGTCCGTCCGTGTCTGGGTCGCCGGTTGAGGGCGCCCCAAGAGGGCCGCCGCCCGCGCGCGCGCCAACGGCGGGGCGCGGACAGCTGGCGCTCGCCGCTCGCCCCGCGATGGCGGCCGCGGCCGGGGCCGGGGCGGCGGCGGCTGGAGCTTTACCACGAAGCAAGCGGGTGGTGTGTGAACCGAGTTCTGAGGCTCTTCACCCCATGGCGGCAGGGAGAGGTTCGAAGTTCGAAGTTCGAAAGTCCAAGAAGTTTTCTGGCGTTTTCGTCGGTTCTCGGTGGCTTTTCAGCCTCGGGGTGCTTTCCAGCAGTTGCGCCTCGCCGAGGGCGTTCCCGGGGTGCCCGGATCGTCCCGAACGGCCGCCAGAAGCACGAGTTGTGATCTGAGAGTCGCCAGAACCCGGAGATCTTGGCGTCACAATTTTTTCACGAGGGGCGATGTTGCCCTGTTTCGGCCCTGGGAGCGTTGCGGATCGATGCGTCCCACAGAATGCCGCAGAAAGATTGGGTCCAGGGATCGGGTCGAGTCTTTCTCAGATGTTGCAATCTGGTCGCGACGTCGGATCTCAGGTGTCTTCGGGCTCCTGGGGCCTTCTCTTGGCCCCAGGCGTGAGAGAACGGTTTGACGTGAACAGTTGGTCCTGGCGGGAAGCATCCCCTGATGTCCAGGCTTGAGCCGACTGTGAGGCTTAGATGGTCCAGCCGTGAGAGTGAGCGAGAGAGATACAGGGAGAGAGAGAGAGAGAGAGGGAGGAAAATGCATCAATGTGCACGGGTCTTGTTTCCTGCCCCTTTTGGGCCGCGTTCTCTACCCTCCTCCAGAGCAGCCCACCCAGCCGCTTCCGTCCCCAGACATCCCCGGGACAGACTTGTCATCCTGGCTAGTTTTTTTTGACGGCCCAGGGCCTGGCGGGGGTCCCTGGATGTCGCACGATTGCATGAAAAGCCCTCCGCCTCCTCAGTTGCTGGTTCGGTTTTGTTGGGGGGCAGCGAGAGGACGACAGGACTTCAGGTCCCGCGAGGAGATGGCCACGCAAACCTGGTCCTCGTCCCCGTCCCGGGGGGTTGGTTTCGGGTCCGGATCCGTCTCTGCTGGTCCCTGGGCTTAGCAACGACCCCCGAGGGCCGAGATCGAGGAAGCGCCATTGACTGACGAGGAGGAGGAAGAGGAGGAGTATAAGGAGGAGGAGGATGAGGAGGAGGAGGAGGAGGAGGAGGAGGAGAATGAGGAGGAGGAGGCGGAGGCGGAGGCGGAGGCGGAGGCGGAGGCGGAGGCGGAGGCGGAGGAGGAGGAGAAGGAGGCGGAGGTCTCGAGGCTGGGGGATTGTGGAGTCGCACGTCGTTTTGATATGATTTTCATCTGGTGGAACGCTCCGTCATCTTTAAACTTTGATGCTTTTTTGTATTTATCTGTTCACCGTGCTTCCCTCATAATATGCTTCTCTCGTTATATCGCTGTCTCGTGTTCTCCCTCTCGTGTCTCCCCAATTAGGGCTACCCGCGTCCCGTTTAGCTCTTGACTGGAAGGGGCCCGCTCCCGACCCGCAGACCAAACAAGTTCTCTCTCTCTCTCTGTCTCTCTCTTTCTCTCGTTGTGTCTCTCTGTCTATCTCCTGCACCAGGCCAATGCATGTCGATGCGATACTAATCCCTTTGCCAACCAATGCCAATGCCAATGCAATGTGAACGGGGGAATTCTTTCGCTCGGTGGATTTGAATAAGAATCCTTTGTGGGCGGTGTCATTGCGAAGCCTTCTTCGGAGGATTTCAATAGAAATGCATGTGTGGAGTGTTTCAATAGGGATCCTCCTGTGGAGGGTTTCACTCGGAATCCTTCCTGTGAGGGGTTCAGTAGGAGTCCTTCTGCGGAGGGAGCCATAGGACTCGCCAGCGCAATGCCAACGCAATGCCGAAATAGTGCCATCGCAATGCCAAACCAATGCCAAGGCGATCCCAATCCAATGCAAAATCAATGCCGATGCGGAGGAGTCTTTTGTGGTAGATGTTGAAAAAGGGATCCTATTTCTGGAGGGTTTCAATAGGAATCGTTGTGCGAAGGGAGGCACAAGGACTCGCTAGCGCAATGCCAGCGCAATGCCAACGCCGTGCCCAATTTAATGCCAATGGGGGAATCCTCTCGCTCGGTAGGTTTCAATCCGAATCCTTTGTGGACGGTGTCACTACGAATCCTTTTTTGGAGGATTTCAATAGGAATCACTCTGTGGAAGGTTTCGATAGGGATCCTCCTGTGGAGGGTTTCAGTCGGAATCCTTTTGTGGGGGTTCAGCAGGAGTCCTTCTGCGGAGGGAGCCATTCGGACTTGCCAGTGCAATGCCAGCGCAATGCCGAAGCAGTGCCATCGTAATGCCAAACCAGTGCCAAGGCGATCCCAATCCAATGCAAATTCAATGCCAATGAGGGGGATCCTTTGTTGTATAGTCCAAACGGAACCTTGCTTGTGGAGGGTTTCAATAGGAATCGTTCTGCGAAGGGAAGCACTAGGACTCGCCAGCGCAATGCCAAAGCAGTGCCAACTCCATGCCAAACCAACGCCAAGGCGATCCAAACTTAATGCCAGTACAACGCCAATGGGCTGGATTGCTTGTGGTAGCGCTCACTAGCAATCCTTCGAAGAGCCCTTTGGTGGATGGTGTCATCCACAAAGGAATCCTTCTAAGGACCCTTTTCGGAGGATGTCACTTGGAATCCTTCTGTGGAGGGACTCGCATGGAACCTTTTTTTTTCGGTGGAGGATTGCAATGTGAATCCTTGTTGCGGGGGGGGGCGTAGGCATCATTCCCGTGGACGTTTTCAATCGGAATCCTTATGTGGAGCGTTTGGTTTGGAGCGCCAGCGCAATGCCATCGCAGTGCAAACGCACTGCTGACGCACTGCTATCTTAATGCCAATGCGATGTCAAACCGTTACCAAACCAATGCCAATGCAATGCCGATGGCGTGATGTCAGTCGCCCAACAGATTCCAACAGAAATCCTTATGTGGATGATTTGGTTACGGACCCTTGTTCGGATGAAGTTGGCAGGAATCTTATTGCGAAGGGTTTCGGCAGCAATCCTTCTGTGGAGGGTTTCACCATGAACCCCTCATGTGGAGGACCCACTGTGTGGAAGTTTTAACTAGGAATCCTTTTGTGGTGGGAGGCATTAGAAGTCGCCAGCGTAATGCCAAAGCAATGCCACCGCAATGCCAAACCACTGCCATGGCATTTCCACTATCCCAATCCAATGCGCATGAAGTGCCTGGGGGAAATCGCTTGTGGTCGGTTTCGATCGGACTCCTTCGATGGAGAGCTTCGAATGGAATCCTGCGTTGAAGGGGATTGATATGAACCCTTCTTGTGGAATATTTCAATCGGTTTCAATAGGAATCATCCTGCGAAGGGGGGCATTGTAACTCGGAAGCACAATGCCAGCGCAATGCCAAAGCAGTGCCAAACTAATGCCAAGGCGGAGGAGGAGAAGGAGGAGTTGGAGGAGGAGGAGGGGGAGGAGGAGGAGGAGAAGGAGGAGGAGGAAGAGAGGAGAGGAGGAGGAGGAGGAGGAGGAGGAGGAGGAGAAGGCGGAGGAGGAGGAGGAGGAGGAGGAGGAGGAGACGGAGGCGGAGGAGGAGACGGAGGCGGAGGCGGAGGCGGAGAATGAGGCGGAGGCGGAGAAGGAGGCGGAGGCGGAGGCGGAGGAGGAGGCGGAGGCGGAGGCGGAGGCGGAGGAGGAGGAGGAGGAGGAGGAGGAGGAGGCGGAGGCGGGGGAGGAGGAGGCGGAGGAGGAGGAGAAGGAGGCGGAGGAGGAGGAGGAGGAGTAGGAGGGGGGATGGGAGCTTTTCGCGATGATCGGCTCTCGATCCGTGCCCCTGCCGCTGCTCTCCTCCCTGGGCGCCGGACGAGCAGGGTTCGGATAGACGAGCGTGGCTCCGTAGGCCAGTCGAATTATTTCCATGCTGCCGGTCTTGTCCCTCCGGGGGATCGAGGAGTGAGGAGGGGCATTGGTCGAGTAGGGGATGGACTACATCACTGATCGACCTCTGTTGTTTTGCCGAGTCTACGACAAGGGCACAGACTGCTCCGCAGATCCAGGCACGTTCTAGGTTTTTTTGTCGCAGACAAGGGGAATCACAAGAAGCAGTTTTGGGGCAGCTCGGTTCTGTGGTCGATCTCCTTTTCAGAAAGTGTCGATCGCCTCCTCCCCCTCGTGCCGAGGAGGCGGCCACGCCTACCTGGTCGACGCCCTGCAGGCCGAGGTCGCCAAGTGGCGCGGCGTGGCGGAGGAGCTGCGCGGGCGCCTGCGCGGCGCCGAGGCCGCGCACGCCGCGGCGCAGGAGAGGGCCGAGGGCGCGCACGCGCAGGCCCTGCAGGCGGGGCCCGCCTCGACTCCTTCGGCTCCGAGGTGCTTCGATGGCGATGCCGCGGTGCTTCTGTGCCGATGCCGACACCGGCTGCGATCCTGCTGCCGATGCCGACCGGGATCTCGGTGTCTCCACGGAAGCCCAGCTGGGAGCTGCTCAGTTCCGCCGAGGTCCGCCGATCCGACTCGCTTCGATCGCCGATCCGACTCATCGATCCGATCTTGGGCCCTCCTGCCTGCAGGGCGAGCGGAAGCGGGTGGCGGCCTTCCAGAAGCAGCGCGACGCCTTGGCGGCCGAGGCTCGTTGGGCTCAGAGGATCTTGGGCTCCCAGACGGGGCCCGAGCAGATGGGGTCAGAGGAGCGCGTCGCATCGCCGATGCATCGCCGACGCGGCTCGATGTGGAGCCCGATTTTCCCCACGCCGGTGCATCGCCGACGTCGCCGATGCATCGCCGATGCATCGGCGATGCGGCGTGATCCTCCGATCCCATCTGCTCAGACCCGACGTGTCCGGGAGGCTTCTGTCAGAGGAGGAAGAGGTACCGATGCCGTTGCCCCCCGAGATCCTGGCGTTGCAGTTTCTTGCGTATCGGGCCTTTGAGCTACGTTTCGGGCCCCAGGGCCCTCACGGATCGAGCGGCTCGAGAAATGCAGGAGAAGGGTTCGGTCCAGGGCTCAGGTAGAGCTTTTGTTTTCTACGATGCTGTACTTTTTTCGTGACGTCGGATCTCAGAATAGGAAGTACCGATACTGCTGCGATACGGCTGCTCGTCTTGGGGAGCCGTCGTCGCCACGGCTGGATTTGCCTCGAAGTCCTGGTATACATCACGTCATTTGGTCGGCCAGGCAGCCAAGGAATTCGGCGAAGGAATCAGGTGTGTAGACGCTCCAGCGTCCCACCTATTGGGCAGCTGGGGCGTCGACACATCGAGCTCCTTGGCCGACCACATGAGCGACGCAGAAAACGGGCTCGACTCGTTTCCACTGTAGCGCGCGGCATTGGCGGCCCGCGTAAGCCACCGCGTAAGGTCGCTATGTCATCGTTCGTAAGATCCGTGCTGTGAGAAGGGGCCGGCACTGTTTTTCTCCGCCCACGCGCTCCAGCGCATGGGACGAGTGAGCGAGTGATTGAAGCGACGTGGTGCCTGTATCGAACCCCTCACCCACCCTGAAGTACAAGGGGAACGGCCTCTTCTGCTACACGTTCTGAGCTCCGGCAGCCCGCGCAGGGCGCGCTCCGGCGCACGCCCGCCAACCACCCACCCCACCCACCCACACGAGCCCAACGGACAAACAAACAAAAGAAAACGGACCCAGCGGTGCAGGAGAGGCCCGCAGAGTAGCGGTAGATCGGCACCTTTCTGCTACTGCAGAGGTAGAGGACGTCAAGGAGCTGCACGCGCGGCAGGTCGACGCGCTCCGGCGCAGCGCGGCGGGACGCGAGGCGGCCCAGGTGGACCTGGCCGTGCTGTACGACCGCCACGTGCGGCAGCTGCAGCTCTGCTTCGAGGCCGCCGCAGTGCCGGTGCTTCGGAGCTGCCGCCAGGGCCAGCAGGTCGAGGCGGCCGCGCTGCAGGAGTTCACAGGGGAGGGCGGGTCGTGGCAGCGGCTGGCGGCCTTTTCGTGGGGCCCCCTCGTCGCCACAGCTGAGCGCAGCTCGGAGAGCTGGTACGTGTGGGTCCCACGAGGACGGTCCAGGGACCGATTTTGAGCTGCCGTTGTCTCAACTTGCCCTGCCCCGAGGAGTGTGTCGCACAGCTCGAGCTGGGCCTCCAGGCTGTCAAGATGCAGCGGCTGGAGCGCCGCCGCGTGCTTCAGCAGACGCTGGATCGGCGCGCCTGCGAGCGGCAGGGCCGCAGCGACCGCCGGGAGGAGGCCACCGAGTTTCAACAGCGGCGCGCCCAGTGGCTGCAGGTCCAGCTGGCCAGCATGCGAGAGGCCCACGCTCTCGAGCTCGAGGCCTTCGAGGAGCGCCTGCTGGAGGAGGAGCAGACCGCGGACGCCCGCCTCGACAGCCTGCTGGGCAACGAGGTCGACGCTGGCGTCAGCCACGCCCTCCGCAGTGCCGCGGTGGCGGCTGCGCCAGGGCCACCCCCGCCAGACTGGGAGGTGGAGCGGCTGCGGCAGGAGGCGGGGACGCAACGCAGGAGCCTGGCCGAGGCCTTGCGCCAGCGCGGCAGCTGGGCCGGGACCCCCCCGGAGCTGGCTTCTGCACGCGCGAGCGCGCGGAGCTCCAGGGAGGCCGTCGGCGCGAGCGCGCCAGGGGAGAGGTCGCCCGGCAGGAGCCCGGCGGTGCTTCAGCCAGGCGCCCACCAGGAGCCCGCCGCCGTGGGAGAGGGCGCCCCGCAGGCCCGCCGGGAGCTCTCCACACCCCGCCGGCCAGGCGCCCGCCAGGAGCCCACGGCCGTGCCGCCTCGCGAGCGGCCTGCTCTCGGGGAGCCCGCAGAAGCTCCCCGCCAGCCGGCCACCCGCCCAGGGCCTCTGGCCGTGCACCAGGAGCAGGTCGCCACCAGAGGGCCACCAGACGCGGCCTGCGAGCCAGCCGCCAGGCCCGTGCAGAGCACGGAGGGTGCAGAGGCAGAGCCGACGCCCTCGGGGGGCCTCTCAGGCAGCCTGCGGAGCTCCGGCGGCGTCCTCTTCGGCGGCGGTCTCGGCGCAAGCACCGGGCCGAGGGTCGGAGGAGGCTCCCTCGGGCCTGCCGCGCCGCCGGACGGCAGCGGCGGCGGCGGTGGCTTCTTCGGACCCCAGGGGCTCATGGCCGCGGCCCGTGAGCTTGTCCAGGAGCTCGCCGCTGCCGGCGAGCCATCCAACCTCTCGGAGCCGGCAGTCGTAGGCAGCGAGCCAGGAGACCCCTGGGAACCCACGGCCGCGGGCCGCGAGCCATCGGGGTTGGAGCCTGGGGCCTCGGAGCTCGTCGCAGCTGAGGCGCGGCGGAGTATCGTCGGCCAGCTGTTCGATGTGCTGGACACGGACGGCGACGGACTTCTGAGCCAGCAGGAGATGGAGCAGTTCGCGCGCCACCATGGCTTCGAGGGCTCGGACGACGAATGGGCGAAAGAGTTCCAGCTCCTCTGCGGGATGCCAATCTTTGGCGAAACCTCGCGCGGCCATCGAATGGGGGTGCCACTGGATAGATTCAGGACGCTGGTTGACGACCAGTCAGAGGCTGGCCTGTTCTGCTCCCACGAGGAGCTCTGCCAGCTGCTGTTGGAGCTCAGGCAGGGCCAGCCGCAGCGTCACGATGAGGCCCAGCGGTCGGGGCTGCTGACGCCCTCGCCCTTCGAGGCTGCGCCCTACGGTGCTGCCCCGCACGGCGGGGACACGGACGAGCACTGCGCCGCGCCGTTAGGACCGCCCGCCGCGGCAGAGCCCCTGGCCGATTCCCGCTGGCAGGCCGCTGCTGGGCAGCAGACTGCTCACCCGCCGCGGGCGGCGCCGCCCGCCGCTGGTCGCGAGCGGGCGGCGGCCTGGCCAGCAGTAGCGGCCCGCGAGCCGCCGGGCCAGGCAGCCCTGACCTGGGAGCCAAGCTATGCCCGCGGGCCCGGCACTCTGGAGGCCCGTGCGCCCTCGCGGGCATCGAGCCGAGAGCCTTCCCCGACGAGGGACTCCTCGGCCCCGGCGGCCGCGTGGCCGCTCGTGCGCGTGCCCTCTGCGGCCAGCCGGCCAGCCGCCCCGCCCCTGGGGCCGGCGGCGGCGCCAGAGCTACCCGACGAGCCCGCGCAGGGGGCAGGCGAGCCCGCGTCGGCGGGGCGCGAGCCGCCCGCCATCCTGGGGGCCCCCTCCGAGTCCGCGCGTGCGTGCAGGCAGCAAGGCGGCACGTGCTCGGGTGGCGGCCGCCCGCAGAGGGCGCCCATGGTGCCCCTGAGGACGCCAGACCCGCCGCCGCCGGCAGCGCCCCCGGAGCCGCCGCAGCTGCTCGCGCCGCCGAGGCCAGGGGCGCGGTACTCGAGGTACACCGTCGACAACAGCCTGCTGCAGGCACCCACCCGCGGGCTGCAGTACCGACAGACCAGGAGGCTCGAGGACAAGGACCTCAAGAGCATCGCGGCCTGGGGCTCCGTCGTCCACGGCATTGACTGCGGCGACGGCTGGGTCGAGGTCTACAACCGCTTCCTGCCCATGCAGGTCGGCGGCGTGCGGGTGCTCGCGCCTTGCCCTGGCAACCTTCTCCGAGACTCCTGCTCGATGTCTGACCCGCTCGACCCGGGCCTGGCCGAGCCCGCCCTGAGGATCAGCATCGTCTAATTTATCCCCATCCCCACTTGGCCATTGCACCTCGGCCCCACCAGCCAACCCTCCCTCTTGGGGACAGGCCCCGCGGAATCCGAAGGAACAGGCACACATCCCCACCCAGGTTGGTCATCGAGGAAGAAGAGCAGCATGAACATAAACTTTCGGAGCTCCGCGCTCCGCGCGCCAGGGGCGGCTCTGAAGGCGCCTCAAAGGGTGCCCAGCGCCGGTCCAGGAAATCCGTGCGGAGCTTTAACACTTTACGTTGATGCCGTTTCTTCTTCTAGGTCAGTCGGCCAGTGTGGCCGAGGCCACGCCAGTGGGGATCGTGATCGGTGAAACGATGCTCCGAGGCGGTTGTCGGGGAGCCCCGCGTACGCGGCCAGCCCCGCGCGGCCCGCTGGCGGGCCAGGCCCGGCCGGGCCCGCCGAGAGGCGGCCGGGCGGTGCCGATCAGGCCGTCGGGGCCAGCGCAGCGCGGCTCTCTGCGAGGTTCGGGGGTGCTGTGCCTGTCCCTCCCACTTCCTCGTCCCTCCGTCCTCCTCCCCCTGTCCTCGGCCCCTTGGACGGGCAGCCCCGCGCGAGGCGGCACGGCGGTGCCGATCAGGCCGTCCAGGCTAGCGCAGCCTGGTCCTCTGCAAGGCTCCGCTCCAGGGTGCTATGCCTGTTCTTTGGAGGAGGAGGAGGAGGAGGAGGAGGAGGAGGAGGAGGAGGAGGAGGAGGAGGAGTCGGCTGGGGGTTCGAGATGGCCCAGCGCTGGTTCTGGCCAGCAGGAATGGGGGCGAGGTTCGAGGTTCTGGCTTCGAGTTTTGTTATGTTTCTCTTGTTATGAGTTGCTGTTCGTGGTGGTGATGCTGCTGTTGTTGTTGCTGCTGCTGTTGCTGCTGTTGCTGTTGCTGTTGTTGCTGTTGCTGCTGTTGCTGTTGCTGTTGTTGTTGTTGTTGTTGTTGTTGTTATTGTTGTTGTTGTTTATGTTGTTGGTGTTTGGGTCTTTGTTGTTGTATTACTAGTTGTTGTTGTAGTGGTTGATGTTGGGTTGTTGTTGCTGTGATTGTGGTTGTGGTTTGTTGGTTGTTGTGGTAATGGTTGTTGTTGAATTTGTGGTTGTTGTTATGGTTTCTGCTGTTGTTGGTTGGTTGGTTGGTTGGTTGTTTGGTTGGCTGGTTGGTTGGTTGGTTTGTTGTTGTTGTTGTTGTTGTTGTTGTTGTTGTTGTTGCCATTGTGGTTGTTGTTGCCATTGTGGTTGTTGTTGCTGCTGTTGTCGTTGTTGTTGTTGTCACTGCTGCTGCTGTTGTTGTGGTTGAGTTCTCCTTTTCAAAGAAGTATGGTTGATCCCCCTGCCTGTTAACCTGTGTGTCTTGCAATTCAAGTGCTTCCCCCTGGGCTAATTTGTTTGGGTATTTTTTTTGGGGGGGGGGGGTTTGCTTTACCAATATTCCTTTCTGTATAATAGTGTGAGGTGTCACCAAACTGGGGTATTGGCTCTGGTTTTACAGCAACAGCGGTTTCCGCCTGATGTCTCCTAGTCTTTTTTCCCAACCATCCTGTGGTGTTGGGTCCTCGTTTTGAAAAGACGTCGCCCCGCGTTCCTCTTCTCCTCCTCCTCCTTCCCTCCCTCCTCCTTCTTCCATGCGTTTCACCCACCCAGCACAGCGTTTCGTGAACCCATAGGGAGCTCCACCGAAGCCCCCAGTGGGACCGCCCGCATGCGTCCGCCACCACCCAGCACAGCCCTTGCTCCCTGCGTTTCACCCACCCAGTACAGCGTTTCGTGGCCCCATAGGGAGCTCCACGGAAGGTCCCAGCGGCACCGCCCGCATGCTTCCGCCAACACCCAACACGGCCCTTGCTCCTTGCGTTTCACCCACCCAGTACAGTGTTTCGTGGCCCCATCGGGGGCTCCACCGAAGGTCCCAGTGGCACCGCCCGCATGCGTCCGCCACCACCCACAGCGGCAAAATTCGCATGCAGTTCCACCCTCGTTTCGGCGCACCCCTCACACGGTTCGTGACCCCATGGGGAGCTCCACCGAATAACCCAGTGGCAAAGTTCGCATGCAGTTCCACCCCCATATCGGCGCGCCCCTCACGGTTCTCGGCCCAATAGGTAGCTTTGCTGCAGGCCTCAATGGCAAAGTTCGCATGCACGGTTGCCCCATAGGGAGCTCCACCCAAGGCCCCAGTGGCAAAGTTTGCATGCAGTTCCACCCCCATGTCGGCGCACCCCTCACACGGTCGTGGCCCCAGAGGGAGTTCCACCGAGGGCCCGAGTGGCAAAGTTCGCATGCAGTTCCACCCCCGTTTCGGCGCACCCCTCACACGGTTCGTGGCCCCATGGGGAGCTCCACCGAAGGCCCCAGTGGCAAAGTTCGCATGCAGTTCCACCCCCATTTCGGCGCACCCCTCACAAGGTTCGTGGCCCCATAGGGAGCTTCACCACTGCGTTATCCACAACTGCATATGGTTGGGTCCTTCGCCAGGATACTTTGACGGTCAGGGGCCAGGTAGGGGCCCCTGGAAGTCGGACATGGCCAGAATTAACCCGATCGCCTTCAGAACCGACTTGCCCCAGAGTTCCCTCGGCCGCCGAACAGTACGCAGCATGATCGCAGATCTACGCACGTTCTCCGTCTTTGTCGAAGACTCGACAAGCGAATCATTTTTGGGGAACCCCGCTCCGCAGCCGGCCCCACGCCGGAAGGGCCGCCAGCGCCGAGACCGCCGCCCGCCTCGCCGAGCCGCCCGCCGAGCCGCCCGCCTGGGCAGCCAGCCCCGCGGCGGCGCCCGGGCGGACCGCCGGGCCCGAGGCCCACGGGGCGGCCTCGCCTGGCGGGCCCGCGGCGGCCTCGGGCAGCCCGGCGGCGCGACCCCGCGCCACCACCTGGGCCGGCGCCTGCGCCGAGGCTCGAAAGGGACAGCCGAGGCTCGAAGGCTCGAGGGCTCGAGGGCTCGAGGCCTTCGGGCGCTCTCGTCGGCTGCCGGCGGCTTTCCAGCCTCGGGGTGCCTTCAGCAGCTGCGCCTCGCCGAGGGCGTTCCAGGGGCGCCCGGGTCTTCCTCAGCGGCCGCCAGAGGCCCGAATGAGGACCCAGAGACCGCCACCCGGGCCAGCGCCGAGGCGGAAGGTCGTCAAGCTTGCTCATAGAAAGCTCAGGGTCTGCTAGGGATTGGTTTCCCCCAAGACGATCCCAAACCTTCTGAAACCCTCCCAGGACCCTCCAAAAGGCCTCCCGGAACCCTTGAGGGAGGATCTCCAGGGTTTCGGGAAGGTTTCGGAGGAATTCGGTATCGTTGATTAGCGGGACGAAGAATGGTATGAGATACATTTTTGCGCCTTCGGGGACGCCTGGTTGGCTAGGGCAGCTAGAAAGTTTACACCCTGACGTGCCACTGCAGGAACTTTCCAGTCGCCCTGGGGCAGGCGTCCCGGCTGCGGACAGTTTATTCTACACAATTTTTGCTTCGTATGTTGAACTAGCCCCATCCCCACGGCCATGATGTCTCCGCCCCATCATCCCTCCCCGCCCCAGTTGGGGAGATGCCCCTCGAGCTCTGGAGGGAGCAGCCTGCATCCACATTTTTCCCCATATCCAAAGGATGGGGTTCTTGTTATTCTCCGACCGCGCCAGACCTCCCCTCCCCTCCTCCCTCTCTGCACTAGGCAATGCTGGCGATTTTCATGATCATGACCATGGTATGGTGAGAGTATGATGTGAGTATGATGGTGATGGTGAGTGATGCATGAGTAGGATGATGCTGCTGATGATGATACCGAGGATGAGGATGAGGATGAGGATGAGGATGAGGATCATGATGATGATGATGATGATGATGATGATGATGATGATGATGATGATGATGATGATGAGGATGATGGATGATGATGATGATGATGATGATGATGATGATGATGATGATGATGATGATGATGATGATGATGATGATGATGATGATGATGATGATGATGATGATGATGATGATGATGATGATGATGATGATGACGATGAGCAGATGATGAGGATGTCTCGAGCGGTTTGCTGGTTTGAGCACTCCTGAGGGGGGGCGCCAGGGGTATTGCACGGCCTCCGTTCGCGCCCAAATGGTGGGGATGTCTCAGGTGGTTTGCCTGTTTTGGTCCGCAACATCCTCCGCTTTCGGAGCAGATTCTGAGGATGTCTCAGGCGAGGCGCTGGTTTTAGCACCCCAGGGGGTCCAGATTTAGAGGATGTCTCAAGCGGTTTGCATGTTTTGGTGGTCAGACTCGTCTGCTGTCAAAGCAGATTCTGAGGATGTCTATGGCGAGGCGCTGATTTCCGCACTCCCAGAGGGCCTAGATTGCGAGGATGTCCTAGACTCACTTATGCTCAAATTCACTCGTGCTCAGGCTCACTCATACTCAGACTCGCACTCATCATACTCATACTCAGACTCACTCACACCCAGACTTACGCACACTCAGACTCACTCACACTTAGACCCACCCACCCTCAGACTCATTCGTAGTCAGACTCACTCGTACTCAGACCCACTCAGGGCCAGTTTCATATCCATCATACTCATACTCAGACGCACTCACATTCAGATTTACTCACGCTCAGAATCGCCCACACTCAGACCCACCCACCCTCAGATTCACTCGTAGTCAAACTCACTCGTACTCAGACCCATTCAGACTTAGACTCGTACTCACTACACTCATACTCAGACTCATTGGCTTTCGCACCCCAGGGGGGGCAGATTGCGAGGATGTCCCAGACTCACTTGTGCTCAGACTCGTACTCATCATACTCATACTCAGACTCACTCACACCCAGTCCATGCAAACAGATGCACATATGGGGAGCTCCACGCAGTGAATAATTCTTAACGGGGGTGGGGTAAATCGGCAAGTGGGGCCAACACTCAGCTCTGAACCCCACAGTTTCCTTACCTGTCTTTCTGCGACATAGGGAAGGCCACACAAATGGTCGGGGGCGGCCAAGAGGGGGATGATGACTAGGGGCGGGTGGATATCACGGCGGGGGCCATGATATCTCCCCAAATTTCATGGCGCCTCTTCTTATTTCAATGCGTCCCTGGCCCCCCCCCCCCCTTG